GGGCGGGACTGGGTGAGTCAGGGCGGGCGGGACCGGAGCCGCGGGCTGCCCCGCCCCGCCCCGCCCACCAGCCGTCTCGGACCCGCCTCCCTTCGGACGCTCCGGGACTCCCGGTACCGTGGGATAGCCGGAGGTCGGCGAGCCTAACCCTGAAGTCCCCGGGGAGGGGAGGGGCTCGTCGGAGGAGCAGGAACGGTAGAATGCTGGGCTCCGCTGCAGTGGGGCGGACCTGGCATGAGGGACCCTGAGAGGGGCTGAAGGCGCTGGATGCCCAAAGCCAACCTGAGAGTACCTTTCTGGGAGCTAAGCTGTATAGACCAGTCAGTAACAGGTGGAGCTACTTGGCTTTGAAACTCAAACAGGGAATCCGTGATCAGGGCCCAAGGGAGGGCGGGGCGCTTTCTCCTTCCTGCTGTGACCACCCAACCAGGGGACGCTCTCCACTGGGGAGGAGACAGAGTCAGGGGTCAGAGGGCTCTGGGAGCCAAGGTTGGAGTCCAATCTGGGAGGTCTGCTTCTCAAAGGGAGACCCTGCTGCCCCAACCCCCACGATTTCCTCCCCACTTTGGGAGGCCTGCGCTAGATCTCAGAAAAGACTTTTGCCTCGATCTGCTCTGTCTGCTAGATTCAAGGGAGAGGAGACCTGAGAAGGTGGGAGAGTGAGGCCCCATCTCTCATGGGGAAAATGAGCCCACAAGTTCACCAGATTAGAGATACTCTGAAACCTCGAGGGTTGGGACCCCCTAAGCTTAGGTTCCTCTGTGAAATCTGGCAATGGGTGTGACCCCCCTTGCAGAAGTCCCTGCGGGCTCGGCCACAGGCCACCCAAAGACAAACCTTCTTTGTGTGGACAAGATAAGCGAGGCTATCTTCTCTCTCAGAGCTTCTGCTCTATTGGAGTGTGTCTGTGTGTGGATGGGGGTGGGGAGAGGGAGAGGGTAAGGATGTGTGTAACTAAGGAACAAGATAATGTCAATTTGTGACAAATGCTGTGGTGGTGCAGTGGAAAAGAATCTGCCTGCCAGTGCAGGAGATGCAAGTGGGGAAGGACCCCTGTAGAAGGAAATAGCAACCCTCTCCAGGATTCTTGCCTGGAGAATCCCATGGACAGAGGAGTGGCGGACTATAGCCCATGGTGTCTCAAAGAGTCATACATGACTGAGCCATTGAGCATGCACTTATGCTGTGTATATAGCAAAACGGGGTGAGGTGAAGTGGTAGCAAAGGGGTCTTTTGAGATGAATAGCTTCTCCTTCTCCTTTAGCCTCTGGAGTAGCTCCTTGAGATCCATGTCCTGAGGGTTTGTTCTCAGCTATATGCTGGGATGCGTGTCTTGTTACACACTGCTTTGCACTCCTGTGCAATAGTCTCTGCGGTCACTGGAACTGAAGCCCCACGAGCCCTAGACACATACCTTTTCTGACACTTCAGATGGTGCCTGGCACACAGTGGGCATTCAGTAAGTAATGGATGGATGCTTAGTTCAGGCTCTCCTTCCTGCAGACCCCGAGGCAAGGAATTAGATGGCAATAGTTTCTCTGGAAGGTGAACTCAGGAAGGATTAACGGTGAGCCAGTGGAGAAGAGAAGGAAGCCAGTACGTGTTAATGATGGCAGCTCTGGGAGATGATGGCAGATGCACCTCCAAGGTGTCCCACCCAAGTGGCGGAGGAGTGGAAGCATTGTTGCACCAGCTTCTGTCTGTCATGGCTGAGGGCTTCTCTGGAGACTGGGGTGGAGGGGGGCGTTCACACCATGGGACTCTTGACTTTCCCTGAATGTGGGGACTCTGGGTGCTCAGAGGATATGGCAAGGGCAGTATGGGATCTGTCACAGGTACAAACGCTTGAGTGGAATGTCTTAGCCATATGACATACATGCAATGCTTCCCAGTGGTCCTTCAGAAAGACTGCCTACTTTACATTCCCATTGGTAATTCATGAGTTTCCCCACATGCATACTATCCAAGTTTTTAAACAATTGTGGTAATGTACACACACATAACAAAGAATTTGCCATCCTAACCATTTTTAAGGGTACAGCTCACTGGCATTAAGGGCTTCCCTGGTGGCTCAGAAGGTAAAGAATCTGCCTGCAATGCACATTGATCCCTGCAATGCAGGTTTGATCCCTGGGTCAGGAAGATCCTCTGGAGAAGGAAATGGCAACCCACTCCAATATTTTTGCCTGGAGAATCCCATGGACAAGAGGAGCCTGGAGGGCTGTAGTCCTTGGGGTCCCCAAACAGTCAGACACAACTGAGCAACCAATACTCTCACTTCAGTGGCATTAAGTAATTTCACAGTGTTAGGCAACCATCCCCACCATCCATCTTCAGAACTTTTTTCATTTTGAAAAAAATGAAACTCTGTCCTCATGGAACACGAATTCACTATTCCTCTCCCCCAGCCCCTGGCACTCAGCATTATACTGTCCATCTCAATAAATCTGAATCCTCTGGGGACCTCATATAAGTGGATCGCAGTGGCTGTATCATTTTATATTCCCACTAATGGTACACAAGTGTTCTTATTTCTCCATATTCTCACCAATACTTGATTGTTTATAACCAGCTTTTAAGGTTTTGTGAGCCTGCGTAGCTATCTATTGCTGTGTAACAAACTGCCTCCAAACCTAGCTCCTTAAGACAACAAGAATTTACTGTCTGACAGTTTCTCAGGGCTTCCCTGGTGGCTCAGCAATAAAGAATCTACCTGCAATGCAGGAGACACAGGAGAAAAAGGGTTTGATTCCTGGGTCGAGAAGATCCCCAGAGGAAGAAATGGCCACTCACTCCAGTATTCTTGCCTGGGAAATCCCATGGACAGAGAAACCTGGTGGGCTATAGTCCATAGGGTCACAAAGAGTCAGACTCGACAGAAACTTGAGCACACATGCAGTTTCTCAGGGTCAGGAATCAGTCAGAGTGGCTACAATGAGTGGCTCAAAAGTTTCCCTTCCCTGGACCCCAACAACCATTGAGTTGCTTTCTATCACTGTCTATAGATTAGCCTGCAGTTTCCAGAAGGTTGTATGAATGGGACCACACAGGGCATTCTCAAGCTCTCTATATGAACAAATGTGATGGGGACAAGGTGGGGCAGAGGGAGCCAGTTCCTTGGGATGGGATAGTGGGTAGCTAAGAGTCTGGAGAGATTGGGCTTGGGAGCAGAGAGCCCAGTGTTTCTGTGGGGTCGATGTGGTCTTTTATTTTTTAATTAATTGATTTGGCTGCACTGGGTCTCAGTTGCAGCACACAGGATCTTCAGTCTGTGTTGCAACACGCGGACCTTTAGTTGCAGCAGGCGAACCCTTAGTTGCAGCATGTGGGGTCTAGTTCCCTGTGTTGGGAGGGTAGCCACTGAACCACCAGGGAAGTCCCCAATGTGTTTTTGAGTATAAGCGGAGGTGCAGGAGGGCACCTGACACTGTGCCCCAGCTCAGGGTGGCTGAAGATGGCCATCTCCCTCTTCATGCTTCTATGCCCTCCATGCCACAATCCCCTATCAAGGTACTCCAGGTGGCCCCTGCACCAGTTGGCAAGTCACCAAAATGACACTTCTACTCCCTCAGGCTGGGCTGGGAAACCTCGAATGGAATTTATTCAGCTCCTTCATGCACCAGTTTTGACACCTCCAGCCCCCCTCCCCCCAATAATCTCATCTCCTCAAAGCCTGGTTCTATCCGGAAGCCTTTGCTGACTTGACTTTATGTGACCTGGGAGGGTATGGAGAGTGGGGGTGCGATGCCCTGTAGAAGGTTGGGTCACCTCTCACCAGCCTCGGTCTCTCTCTCCCCCTTATTCTTTTTTCCTCTCTTCCCCCCAGTCGGGGGCTACCCCTGCTTTCCCAGGGCTTCATTCTCCCACCAGTCCCCGAGCTCAATGAGATAGGAGGTTTCCTGGGGTCTGTGGGCAGCCTCTGCGGTAGCGAAGGCGAAGACTGGGCCAGGGACATCGAGAGGCCGGATTGGGGAACTGGGCACGAGGCGCGATGGTCCCGCCCCCTGGTTGCCAGGGCCCAGCCTATCCGCGTTCAGGCGGGCCTCGGGTCTCCAGGTGGTTGGGTGGGGGCCTGGGCAGGTGTGTGCGGCAGCGGCTGGGGAAGAGGGGGTTAGACTGGATCGGAGACCCCAAGGGATTACCCACCTCCCCGAAGCCCCTCCGGTTGGGTGTCTGAGGTGCTCAGGCGCAGCCGCAGAGAAGCCGCCTCTGCCTCCCACTCGCTCTCCCCTCCCCACTCAATTCCGCGCGCTCCCGCCTGCGCCTTCCCTGTCTACATCCAGCGCACGCGCCCCCTTCTCCCCCGCCCGCCGCCAAGGGCCGGGCCCGCCTCACGGCGCCGCCGCCCGCCGCCCCCTCCCCTCGCCTGCCCTCCGCAGCCACCGCCGCGGCGCTCCCACCCGTCCCCACCCCAGGGGATCCAGCGTGGAGCGGAGGGAGACCAAAGCCCGAGGTGAGCAGTGGCGCGAGCAGGTGGAAGGGCGACGCGGACCAGGGCCCAGCGGGCACAGGGGGACGGGCTCGGAAAGCGGCTCTTTGTCTCCGCAAGCCGGTGCGCGGGCAGCCGGGACCGCTCCTCCTCCCGGCAGGTGCCGGCATCACTCCCGGAGGCCCGGGACGGCTCTGGGGGCTGGCGAGGGGATCCGGGCGTGTGCTCATCCCTTCATTTGGAACCTGTGGTAGCTCCCTGGCCCGACGCTGGTGGTCAAGGCCCTGAGAGGGCGAGGGGTAGGTGGGTTGATCTCTGGTCCTGAGAAGGAGCAGAGGCAGGCGTGGCCTGGAGGAAAGGCGATAAGGACGAGGCTTGGGGACCACCGTGAGCAGCTGCGCTGGTGAGTGGTGGGTGGGTGGAAGGAAGTGGATCCAAGCAGAGGTTTGGGCGCCCATGGTTGGTGACGCAGGAGAAGAAGCAGAGAGGTTCCAGGACCCAGAATCTTGCAGGCAGCATAGCGCTCCAGGATCTGGGATGCTGATTAATCTGTTTCTTCGTCAGGTGCTGGATGGACAAGAGGGACAAGTCCAGGGCAGCGGCCGCTGGTCGCCCGCCCGCTTCTCGCCCTCCTGGCCTTCCAATCCCCAAGCCCGCAGGGTCTCCACGACCCCCTCCTCCAGTAACCAGCGCGGCTCTCCGAGTTCTGGGAGCAGCAGCAGCCGCAGGGCGAGGGCCCCTGGCAGAGCGAACCGGGGGCATCCGGGGATCCGCTCTCCCGGAGGTTACTCCCCAGGTGGGACCAACGCGGAGCGCTGGGACGGGCCCCCGGAGCCCAGGTACTTCAGCCTCTTTCCCTGATTCTGACCCCATCTTGCCTCCCCTCCTCTGAGGCACCAGCTTTCCCTTGATTTCTGGGGCACCTGCATTGACTTGGCCTTCTCCCCACAGCCTCCAGGCCCTCAGCAGCTGGGAGAGGGGAGCGGGCCCCTGCCAGGACCCCAGGCTCAGGCTGTATCTCTAGCTCCGGGCATGCCAGCGCGCCCACCAGGTAACACACCCGCCCCCACCCCCAAGTCCCTTGGACAAGGGTTAGTGTCTCCATCTGGAAGCCTTTAATTAAAGTGTGTGGGAGCACTTGCTTATCACTGGGCGCAAATTGGTGAAAGCTGTTATTGGCTGGCAGAGAGAGCATATGCCCCATTTTACAGATGAGGAAATGTAGACTTGGGAGAGGAAATAGGAGCTGGAGCTCTGCCCTGATCGCAGGCCCTCCTGTCCTCAGACCAGGCCTTCTTGGGCAGAAGGGGCTCCGTCCCCCAGCTGAGGAACCTGCAGCCAGAGGAAAAGCCATAGATTCACCCAGAAGGAGCACCCTGAGCACTGGGGCACGGAGAGGTATGTGACCTGGGGGAGGAACCAGCGGGGTTCCTGAGCTGTGAAGTATTGGTGACCTTCGGCCTTCTGTTTTGTCCCCAGACTCTTCTGGGTCCACCCCAGCCATTCCCTCCCCGGTCAATTCCCGTCGGCCCCGGGCTGCGGGCGCTGAGGTGGGTGTCCCTCGGGCAGCTCCAAGTGCCCGGCTCCGGCCCCTGACTACTGAGGCTTCCAGGAAGTCAGTGAGCAGCGCCCCAGAGCGCAGCGCGGCGGAGCCGAGCCCTGCCTCCAGGAAGCGACCCAGCGCCGGCGGGAGCCTCCAGAGGCCAACCTCACGCCCCCCGGGCTCTAGCGTCACCCCTGTATCCTCCCCAGTCCGCTCTGGAGCTTCCCCGGCTGGAACACCCCGGGCTCTTGCAGTTCAGCCCAAGTCGAAAGGACTGCAGACTCTTCGCGCCCCGCAGGCCACATCCCCCAGGAAGGGCGCAGCCCCAGTGAGGGGCCTTTCTCCTCCTCTGGCCACGTCCTCTCTACCTTGTCCTACTGCACCGCCTCCGCGTGTCCCAACCACTCCCTCTCGGGACGCGCTGCCTCCTTCTCCACCGACCACGCCCCCTTCCCAGGCCCTCGGCCGGTCTTTGACCACGCCCCATCCACTAGCCCCTCCCTCTCCGGCTCCGCCCTCTTTTCTGACCGTCCCCTCTCCGCCGGCCACACCTCCTTTGCAGGCTCCACCCACACACCTGGGTACATCCTTTCCGGAGGGGTCCGCCTCTCCCTTGGCCATGGCCCCTCTTCTGGCATCAGTCCCTCCATCAGTTTCACCTGCTCTGCATAGTGTACTCCCCACCGAGGCATCTTTGACTTTACCTCCTTTTCCAGCTCTCCCCTCTCCCTTAGCCACACCGGCTTCCGCAGGTCCTCTACCACCAGCCGCTGCCCCTCTACAAGCCCCTCTGTCTCAGGCAGCATCTGTGAGGAACTTGCCCTCTCCCCTAGCCACACCCCCTCCTCAGGCTCCTTCCTCTCTGGCCACGCCCCCTCCACAGGCCAGTCCTATGCCTCCACCTCTTCAGGCCACGCCCTATACACTGGACACGCCTTCCACACCCCCTTCACAGGCCACACCCTCTCAGACCACACTCTCTCTTCAGGGTCCTCCCCGTTCAGAGTCTCCCTCTCCCCTGGTCAGGCCCCTGCTACAGACTCCACCTCCTCTGGCTACTTCCCCTCGACAGGCCGCTCCTATACAGGCCCCATCTCTAGCCTCACCACCTCTGCGGGCGACCCCTCCTCCCTTGGCCGTGCCTCATCCGCACTCTCCACCTTCTCTGACCACTCCTCCTGTACAGGCCACTCCCCCTCATCAGAGCCTGCCTCCTCTGCTGGCTCCACCTTCTCTGGCCTCACCTCCTTTGCAGGCCCCACCCTCTCCTCCCCCTGCTTCATCTCTGCATGATCCTCCCTCTCTTCCGGTTCAGCCCCCACAGAGGGGTCTACCTTCTCTGGCCTCGTCTCCTCTTCAGGCCCCCCCTTCTCCCCCTGCTTCACCCCCTCTGCAAGACTCTCCCTTTCCCCTGGCCACACCCCCTCCGCGGGCTCTACCTTCTCTGAGCACGCCCCCTTTACAGGCCCCTCCTCCTCCTCCAAGCCTGCCTCCTCTGCAGGCTCCACCTTCTCTGGCCTTGCCCCCTCTTCAGGCCCCTCCTTCTCCCCTTGCTTCACCCCCTCTGCAAGACTCTCCCTCTCCCCTGGCCACACTCCCTCCGCGAGATCCGCCTTCTTTGAGCACGCCCCCTTTACAGGCCGCTCCTCCTCTGAGCCTGCCTCCTCTGCAGGCTCCACCTTCTCTGGCCTCTCTCCCAATGCAGGGGGGTCCCTGTCCCTCTGCTTCATCCCCTCTGCAAGACCCTCCCTCTTCTCTGATCACGCCCCCACCACGTGCTCCACCTTCCCTGGCATTGCCGACTTTGCAGACCCCTCCCTCTCCCCCTGCCTCACCTCCTCTGCAGACCCCACGCCGCCCTCCAACCCCGGGTCCCGATGCCCCCATCTCGGGCCCACGGCTGACCCTGGCGCTGGCCCAAGGCCCACCGCCGCCGCCGTCGCGCAGCCCGTCTAGTACGCTGAGTGGCCCGGACCTGGCGGGCCACAGCAGCAGCGCCACCAGCACGCCCGAGGAGCTGCGCGGCTACGACAGTGGGCCCGAGGGCGGCGCCGCAGCCTCTCCGCCTGCCGATGCCGAGCTCGCCGCCTGCCACCCGGCAGCTTGGAGCCGAGGTTCCACTCCGCCTCTGGCCATCCGCAGCACCCCAGGTAAACAGTCCTCCGGACTCTGCGGAGCAGAAGGGGCGAGGTCTGGGATGTGAGAGGGCGGGGTCGGAGGCAAGGCTCGGCGGCAAGACAGTTGGGTCTGAGGGCGGAGCTGAAGGGAGGGGCGGAGTCTCGTGGCTGGGGTGGGGCTTCCCGCTCTCTTTGAGCATCCCGGCTCCTCTCCTCGCAGGAGCGCCCCTGCCTTGGTCTCCTGCATCCGGGTCGGGCTCTGCTGATGGCTTGTGCACCATCTATGAGGCTGAAGGTCCCGAGTCGGCGAGCCCCGCCACAGACGCACTGGATCCCGGGCCCGGGCCCGGCGCGGGCGGTGGGAAGGCGGCGGCCGGAGCTGCGGCTGGTGCGGCCTCTCGTGGCGCGAAGCCGGCGCGCTTGGGAGACCTGCCGCTGGGGGCGCTGCAGGCGAGCGTCGTGCAGCACCTGCTGAGCCGGACGCTGCTGCTAGCTGCGACTGAGGAGGCCGCGGGAGGCAGCGGTGGTCCAGGTGGCGCTGGGGGTGGCGGCAGCGCGGGGGGAGCCCGCACTGCGCTGAGCGACGCCGAACTGGGCCGCTGGGCCGAACTGTTGTCGCCGCTGGACGAGTCCCGCGCCAGCATCACTTCAGTCACTAGCTTCTCCCCAGATGACGTGGCTTCCCCGCAGGGTGACTGGACCGTGGTAGAGGTGGAGACCTTCCACTGAGCCCGACCCTGTCCCCGCCTGCCCACCCCACCCCTGCCTTAGGTTCGCCCCTCTGGTTACACCTCAAAGGTCTTAGATCTCTTTCTCCCTTCCTCCAGGAGTCCGGCTTCCCGTGGATTGGTCTGTCCCTTTAGAGCCCCAGAATTTTGGTCCTGGCTTGCGACCCAACACCTTTGGCCAAGGCCCTCCCCTTGAGCCCCTCGCCTTTGGCCTAGAACGCGTTCCTGTACCCCTCGAGCCCCGTCCCTCCCTCGGCCTAGGCTCTTCCCGGTGTCCAGTGTATTGTCTACCGCGCGCAGCCTGAGTTTGCAATAAAGCGGAGACTGAGGCCTGTTTCCTTTCTCCTTCGCGGTCGCGGGCTGGGTGCTTACCGGGCGCATCGGACAGCAGGGCGGCACGAGGGGCCAGGTGGGCCGTGCTGGAGGCTGTGCACAGCAGGTTGTAGCTCTGGTTGAAGGCTTTCCCCAAAGTTCCTCCACTGAGGGTAGGGGCGTGCAAGGAGGAGCTGCGGTGGGATCAGGAAATGCTGAGAGTCCCTGTGGTCTAGCACCGTGCACCCACCCGCGTGCGTGAATGTAGGCATTCTTATGCCCGACTTCTCATGGAAATATCAAGTGCAGGTGGGGCTGCCTGACCAAGTGAATGAACAAGGTATGCCCGGTGTGGCCAGCTGATCAAGCTCTTCTCACATTCTGCCGAGGGAGCAGGCACTCCTTGGGGGGTTGGGGAAGACACAGGGAGGGATTGCTTCGATCTCAGGAGAGGGCACAAGCCACTTCCTGAGGTTCTTCCTCACAGTGTGCACCCCTTTACTTTCCATGCCCTGGGGTGTCAGAGGGAGACAGGAGAGGCCTGAGACTGATGGCCATCTCGGGTCCCTCCAGGGCCTCCCAAGAGCTGCTCACCAAGAAGGCTGCAGTGCAAAAGGCAGGCCCGCAGCTGAACCCTGGGCTTGGAAAGGGGAGTCACTGCCTCCTGGGCGGACCACGCTGAGGAGCCTGCAGGGAAGGAGCAGCCTCTCCAAGTCTGATGGGAGATCTAGGCATCCTTCTGTTGCCCACTCCTCTCCAGGTGCCCTCACCATGCCCCTCTGTGCCAGCCTCCCAGCCATGGGCCTTGCCTTTCATCCCAACTTAGGGTGTCCCCCCTAAGCCCTCATGCCAGGCATCCTTGCCTGTGCACCAGTGTCGCGGGTCCTCACCAGAGCGAACCACTGCCTTTGCTTGTCTCCCCGAGTCAGAATTCCTTGCCCTTCCTCCCACAGTCCAGTCATCCTGACTCTAGCTCCTTTAAGCCACAGCCCAGGCCCTCCTTTTCCCCAAGTACCCGTGCAGGAAATGGACCCCCTAGGCCTTTCCTCCCCATGGGTGTCCTGCTTTACACCCAAAATGATGGCGGCCCGAGGGGAACCACAATCCTCAGGACAGGTAGGACAGAGAGATGACTCCATGTGGGGTAATCTCTCTGCCCATAGACCCAGTCCCTGAAGCTGGGTTCCTGCTGGTCCCCACCCCAGAAGCAACTGCCTCCCAACCTAGGATCTGAAGAGAAATTGGCCCAGTCTTGATGGGATACTGTCACCTACATCCCTGGGAGCCAATCGGTTAAGTTGATAAACTACAGAGGTTTCTTTTCTAAGCTGGGCCCTGGTGAGGACCTGGGTGTCCTTGTTTCCAGATGCTGAGACAAGCCTGAGCTGACTCATGACATGTTGGGTAGCTGAGGCCCCAAGACCAGCCCTCAAGAGGGAGCAGGGCAGAGCCCCAGTTCTCCCAACTTCATGCCCCATCCTGGGAGCTAACCAGGTGGAGTTACTTGGTGGGAGCAGGAGAGGCAGGCAGCAACAGTCAAGGTCTCAGTGTCCAAACTGTGTGGTGGGGATGGTGATGGATCCACAGGAGCTGTGGCGTGAGAGGGGCTCAGCTGTCCTGGTGTCCTGCTCGCTGCTCCACAGGTATCATGCAGCAGAGTGGGGTACACTTTGTGGGCCCACACTGGGCGTAGAGGCCAGGGCCAGGCTGGTATCTGGCTGGACCGTTAAATGTCTCCCCCAGGAAGGCTTCCTTGCCATCCCTGGATCTGACTCCCTGCAGTAGCTGGGACTACACCTCAGCTCTGTGGGCCACCCTACAATGGACCGGCCTCTCTGGGTCTTCTTTCCCTAGGGCAGTACCCACTGCTGGTTCAGTTTTGTCTCTGTGCTGACCCCCAAGACAGTAGTCCCTCTGATGGCACCCCTCTCACCTAAGCGCTCCATGGCTCCCCAGTACCCTCATTTCAAAGTGCAGTCTTTCTTCTCCTGACTTGAAAACCCCCTTCCCAATCTGGCCATGGCCACTTTCTCCTGTTCTTCACAGATCTCACGTGTCTCCTGCTGATCCCGCCACACCTCACCCTTATGCTTCTGCCCTTGGAGATGCACCCACCCCCCATGCCCTCCAAGAAACCTTCCCTGATCTCCCTACACATTCATCTAGGCACTCACCACTCTTAGAGCAAGCTTATCCCCCACCCCCACCACAATGTCTGTCTCCTTCACTGCACTTGGGACCCCTCAGAACCAGGCTCAGAGCAGAAAACCCCGAAGGCCTCAGGAAGTACATGCCAAATGGAGGAAACTAGACCCTGAATCCTCCTGAGGCCCCTATCCCAAGCCCCTTCATTCTCCATGACTCTCAGGGGAGGCCCTGGCAGGAAATCATGGCCCACTCTCCTCATGTCCAGAGCCATCCTCCTGAAAATGCCTGCTCTAAGGGTGCATCTGCAAGCTGGACGTCCCAGGTCCTTGGTGACCTGTTCCTCCAATACTAACCTATCTCCTCCTACCCCCACACTTAATGTTCACACGCACAGTGTGAACTTTGCTCTTCCACGCTGCACCCCGTCCTGGGCAGCCTCTTTGGGCCCCTGCTGGCCTGCTGTGACCTGTGCCCCTGTTTCTCTTAGACAGTGGGAGGCTCCCAAGGGCATAGACAGCCTCCTCCCTTCCCTACTGCTTCACAAAGGGCCAGGGACCCCCAGGCCTACCCCGCTCAGCGCCCCTTGTCGTGACTGTGTAAATACACTTTATTTTTCATCTTTCCCGCCTGGGCGACATGTGGAGTGTGAACAGGCAGTGTGCAAAATGGTGGTGGGCAGTGCGGGGGGCATGTGGGTGAGCCCCTGGGATGCCCACCCTGGTCCCCAGGCTTTGTAACACTGAGTGGGCGACCGGGAAGCGGAGACTGAGCATGGATCCCCACCCCAGGAAGCGCCAGGGGGACTGTTTGTTATGCTGTTCTAGGCTCCAGGAGCACCGAGAAGGTCAGCCCGGGGGTCAGGAGGTCCCGGGGGGTCGGGTCTGGGGGCATTGTTGGACTTTGGCACCGTTCTTGGCTCTGACTCAGCAGAGACCACGGGACCACTGTGAGCAGGTGGGGGGGCACTCAGCCAGGAGGCCTCCTCCCCTGAGGCTGGAGGGTGGGGCTAGGGATACAGAGGAGGAAGGGAATTGTAGGCTGGGGACCCCCTGGAGAGGGGGCTAGCCTGCGCGGGGAGCCCCCCTCCCTCCGTCACTGGCCAAGCTGAGGTGATGGGACTGCCACAGAGGAAGAGGTGGGGAGCTGGGGAGCGGGAGGTCTCTCCACTTCCTTACAGCTGCTCTGGCCCCCAGGAAGCAGTGACAGATACTGCCCAGGCCCTGGCTGGTTCCAGCTGGCCATTCACACCCTGGCAGCCCTGCACTCAGTAGGGGGACTTTGGTTTCTGTTGCACGGGCCACAATGCCTGCTCCAGGCAGGGAAGCCCCGCCTGGCCATCTGTCTCCAGAGGCCAAGGGTCCCCAGGGCCTGCATGGGTGGTAAAGTCCGGCCTACAGGGGCACCTTCCTCCTCAGGTCTGCTCCAGAGTCTGGGCCCTTCCCGGCAGGGCCGCTCTTGTCCCAGGAGGAGGCCGGCTAGGAGGGGGAGCTTCTGTTGGTGCAGTCCTGGGACCCTTGGGTCCTCCTGGCCCTGGCTGTTAAGAGGGGCAGACCTTCCTGATAAATGGGCCGAGAGGGGAACGGACCAAGATGGGTAAACACTGCTGGGGAGGGTGGGCCTGCCAGGGCGCTGTGAGTATCCCCGGCCTCCGGCCCTACCCTCTGTGCCTGGCTGCGCGCTGGGCCTGGCCCTCTAGGTGGGTGAAACCGCAGAGGGCTGGAGTCTGTGAAGAGTTGGCGCCGACGCAGGAGCGGGCTGGCGGCGGTCCGCCCGGCCCCCGCCCCCGCGCCCCCCACCCCCCCCCCCCACCCAGCTCCGAGCACGCGGGGCACGGCCTCAGTTGTCCAGGCCCTGGCTGTAGGGCGCGGCCAGCTCGTCGGCGTCGCTGTCGGAGCTGCCCTCACTGTCCTTGGCCGGTCGCTCCAGCCGGCGGAAGAAGCGTGCGTCGCGCGGCGACAGCGGGTAGAGCGCGTCCTGCAGCGCGGCGCCCACGCCCACACCGAGCAGCTCCTCATCGGACGATGGCAGCGAGTCCTCGTCCAGGTGCCGAGCCAGGCCCAGCCCGTCGAAGGCCAGCGGGTCCTCAAAGGGCGGCGGGCCCTTCAGCCGCCGCACCTGGGTCGGGGGGTTGGGGTGGGTGGGACCCACGCGCTGGAGGCGTGCATCGATGTCCCCACGGACCGAGTCTGGCCGCCGGGTCCCCCTCCTCTCCCGCTCCCCGAAGCGCCAACGCCCGGCCCATCACTGGCCGCGGGCACGGGGGCTCTCAACGCCTCTCCCGCTCTCACCTCGGCCTTCAGCTCCTCGATCTGGTCCTTGAGCTCGCGGATGTACTGCGACGAGTCCGAGTGGTTCAGCTGGCCCTGGATGCGGCCCTCCTCTCTCTGAGGGCGGGCCGTGCCAGTCAGCACGGGGTCCGGTCCCGGAGCCAGTCCGAGGCGCGCCCCCCCTCGCCTCACCGCTCACCTGGATCTCCAGCTCCGCGATGCGCTGCCGCATCTCGGCCACCGCCGCCATGCTGTCCGCCTCCCGCAGGCGCACGGCCATCACCTCCTCCTTGCTCTGGGGGCGGGGGTGGGGGAAAAGGGGTCAAGGGGCGCGGCAGGGCTTAGGGGATGGGGGGAGTGGGGGTGCGGGCACCTTGCACTCGGCCTCCGCCTGCTTGCGGCGGCTCTCGCTGAGCTGCGTCTGCAGCCCCTTGTTCTGCGCCGCCAGGTACTGCAGCTTCTCCTGCAGCGCCGCGCGCTCAGCCTCCACACGGTTCAGCAGGTTGCGGTGGATGTGGTCCTGGGGGCGGATGCGCGGGGGTCATGGCCTTGCCGAGGGCCCGACCCCGGGCGCCGGGTTCCCTCCCCGGGCGCCGGGTTCCCTCCCCGGGCCGGCCTCGGCCCACCTGCGTCTCGAGCTCCACCACGCGCTGCCGCAGCTCTCGACCCTCGGCCAGCGCCTGGGCCTCGCGCAGCCGCACGCTCATCAGCTCGTCCTGCAGCTCGCCCAGGACCAGCTTCCGCGGGGACTCCTTCCAGCGGCCACCGCGGGATAGGTGGGCCTGCGGGGAGAGGTCGGCGGTCGGTCTGCGCCGGGGGCCCCGAGGCCGCTTCGGCTGCCTGGAACGAGGCCCGCCCTCACCTGCCAGGTGTCCGAGAGCTCCTGCAGCTGCAGCTTCAGCTCCCGCGCTGAGGCCACGGCCTCACCCTCCCGAACCTTGAGCGCCTTCAGCTCCTCCTGAAGCCGAGCCACGTTGTTCTCGTCGGGCAGCGAGCTGTTCCTCTGCGGGGAGAGGAGCGCTCAGAGCCCAGAGGATCTGCGGCCACGTGGCCCTGCCTGCAGGCCTCACTCCCCGCCCCCTTCTCCTCTGGGCTTCACCACTGGTGGCTGGGCTGGGAGAGGGTGCACCCTGGACGCCCGGATGCCCAGCGAAGAGGACGAGCCCCCAGGGGAGGAGACCCCACCCTCGCAGCCCCTGCTAGAAATCCTGGTCTGTAAAGCCGCTGTAGTAACAGCACCTGCTCTCTCCGGGGGCTGGTCCAGGGCAACCCCCACACCACACGTGGTTGTTAATAACACCAAGAGGGCGGGAGGCCAGCTGCTCCTCACCTGGGAGCCTGAGATCCTCGCCCTCCCAGCCCAGACCTGGCCCAGCAGAAGCTGAGCAGATGGCAGGTGTGGGCACTGTCTCCCTGGGGGCAGAGGGCCGGCCTAGGCCCTATCCTGGTCTCCCAAGGGCTCAGTGATGAGAGATTTGTGCTCCAGCCTCTTGGACCAAAAGCCAACTCGCTGCAGGAGGTTCTCTCTGCCCCTTGTCTGGGAGCTGGGGGGAGGGTGGTGGAACTTCTGGGCCCACATTTCCCTCTGATGTAGAGAGGGGAGAGGAAAGCCCAATCTGGGTGGTGGGTCTGTTAGGGACTGTGAGGAGGATGGCCCCATGCAAGGCTGTGGCAGAGACACCGCACCTAGGACACCCCAAACTGCAGCTTGAAGCTGGGGGCGGGGGGGCGCGGCTTCTGTTAGTGGGTGAGTGCTGCCCTCTGGTGGCCAGGGCATTTCCCTTCTGGCGGCTCAGGGAAATTGAGACAATAACCAGGGTGGAAGAACTGCGAGGGGACCAAGAGGCCTGGCGCTCCCTGAAGGGCTGCAGGTGGGAGAAGGCGGCCCCCTGGGTGGTGGGGCTGTGGAGGTGGGCAGCCTCGACAGGCCTGCGCCTTCCCTTCACCCTGGAGCTCGGGGCTTGAGGGGGTCGTACACAGGCAGGATGGGCTGTCCAGGAGGCCCGCAGCGACCACTGTGCTGCTGGCCTGGTGTGTGGCATGTGAGGGCAGGCGTGCCTCTCATGGAGTTGTGCTGCTGTGTGTGTGTGTGTGCGCGCGCACGCCTCCAGGGCTTGAGTGGTACACACCTTGCTGTGGAGACTATGGGGGAGGAGGTAGGGGAGGGGCTCTGACTCCAGGGCCTGGCCCTCAGGTCCCTGGGGCTGCCCCTGACAGCGAGGGCCTGGCTGTCACCTCCCAGGGGCGCCCTCACTGCCCCATCTCCAGGGTGCCCCCGGCGGCCGCCCAGTCGCACCTTCTCCATGTCCAGAACCTTGTCCTGCATCTCCCGAAGGGCCCCCAGGGTCTCAGTCTCCCGAAGCCGTGACTGCTCCAGCTCCGTCTCCAGATGGGCCACAAAGTCCTCGGTGAGGCGCGGGTTATCCTAGGGGCAGGCAGAGGGCGGTGCTGGGTGACAGGCTGCGGCCGGAGGTGGGCAGCCTTCCTGCCAGCCAGGTGAGGGCCCAGGCCTGGTCCCACCTCCTCCATCCCCAGGGCCAGGAGCGGGGCTTAGGTTGTGGGTGGAGAGGGGGGCAAGGAGAAAGTCCAGATCCCCTGGAGGGGCAGAACACCACGGGGGCCCTGATGCTTTGTCTTGGGGTCCTAGGGACACCACACATGGCCTCAGGAGCCCCCTGAGGGACACCAGTGCCTGGTTCACAGGATCGCTGGGGGAGTATGCAGAGCGAGTTCTCTGGGTGCTGCTTCCTACTGTGTGGTCTGTGGCCTGACCGCACTGTGGGGGAAAGAGTTGGCTGAGACCACTTTCTTGGTCAGTGTCCAGGGGCTTCTCAGGGGTGGTGGGTGGGCCCCATACAGAAGACCTTGACAGTGAGGGAGGAAGCGCTTGGGGTCAAAGCACAGCCTGCATCTTGCTGCCTGGGTGGCCTGGCAGGGCACTTCTCTGGCAAGTTGCCCCAGCCACCCTGCTCCTCAGCTGCCCCACCCCCCGCTTCCCCACTGACCAGGTCTTTATGGGGCCCTCCTGCCTAACTGCCCAGGTCTGCTCGCTACCCTTGACCACTGGGGGTCTCTGAAGTCCAGGGGTGTGGGTGGCTCTCTCTCGGCCCAGATGGGCTCCGGGCCCCGTGGCAGCTCTGCCCGGCCGCATCTCTTCCAGGGGCCCCACCGGCATCTTCCACACTCCCTCCCTGCCTCCCTCTGCCTTGCAGCGACCTCCCTGCCTCACCAGCTCTGCAGCAGGCCTAAGGGCAGGAGCCCAGAGGGGGCAGGTGACTGTCTCTCCAACTGGCCTGACGGAGGGCGTTGTGCCACGAGTAGGGTTAGCCCAGCCTCAGCTTCCCCACTGGCCTGGCTGCCTCAGAGTCAGGGAGGGCTACAGCATGTGGACTTGGCCGGAAGGTGGGCGCGGGTAAGCAATGGCGAAGTTCTACCCCTCTGTCCCCAGGAGCAGAGGCTCAACACGTAAGGGGGGGATTCTCCTCAGCCAATGACCATTCCTTCTCTTCCTGTTTCTCAGGCACCCTGTGGTTTCTCCACATCAGGGAGCCTCACCTCACTGCAGGGCCCTGCTGGTTCAGCCCTGGGGTGTGGAGAGCTGAAAGCACCCTTCCCTGCCCCTCGGGGCCTGTGCTCAGGCATACTTGCTGAGTTTGGAGGCCACAGCTGCCAGTGGGTTACCACATCAGGAAGGCAGCTGCTGGGTGTGGCTGGAGGAGAGTTCTGGAAGTCCTCTCTGGGAGAAGTAGACTCTGCCATGCTTCAGCCCATGGGCCCTCCACCACCCACCCGAGTTCATGACTCCACAACAGACTTGGGCTGCCCCCACCTCATTCCCAACCCATCAGATCAGGCTGGTGGGCACAGACCAGACCCTCTTCTGAGGGCAAGGTGTTGGGCACTGGAGGGGGTTACCCTCCCTTGTCCCAGCTTCTACCATGCATGACTGCCTACCCAGCCCCTAAGGAAGCCCTGAAACAGCTCCCCAGCTGAGTGTATGATTAACCTCTCTATCTTCCAAAACTTTATTGCCTTTCATGTGCCACCCTTTTCTTGAGTTTCAAAGAAAATGGCGGGCTGAAACCAAGCAGGACCCCGTGGGCACTCCTGCATACAAAAGCCCTTCCGTGTCCCTGTTTCTTATTTGCAGAAAAAGGCTGTAGTCTCCAAGGCCTCCACTGAGTCCTGGAGAGCAGCCTCAGGCAGTAAACGATGAGGACCATAGAGTCCCAGGACGCCTAGGTCCTCCTGAGGGAGGAGAGATAACTACTTGACATGGGTCTTTGACTTCTGCAGAAACTAAGAGCCCCAGCCAGGTGGAGCATGGTGACTACACACTGACCACCAGCACCAGACCCTAGACTGGTTGTAGCCAGAGGGTTGATGATGACTGAAGTTCCCTAAACATCACCCTGTTTCCTCACCACCAACTGATCAGAAGAAGGTCCACGAGCTGACCCTGCATCCTAGGACCCTCTCCCCTGGCACTGCGTTAAAAAAAACCCGCCTAGGGGCTTCCCTGGGGGCCCAGTGGCTAAGACTCCACACTCCCAACGCAGGGGGCCCGGGTTTGATCCCTGGTTGGGGAACCAGACCCCACATTCCGCAACAAGGAGTTCACATGCTGCAACTAGAGATTCCACGTGCCGCAGTGAAGACAGAAGGTCGCAAGTGCCACAACCAAGACCTGATTCAGCCAGATAAATAAATGAAAATACTAAAAAATCCCCTGCCTAAAAGCCATCAGGGACTTTCTGGGTTCTTTTGAGCATGAGCTGCCCTTTCTCCTTATTTGCAAAAGATGCTGTAGTTTCCTTCACCACAACCTGTGTTGGTAGCTGGTTTTGCTGCATGTCAGATGAGTGGACCTGGGTTTGGTTTGATAACAGCCCAACGGCCCTTCAGACCCTGGGGAGACATCAAGGCTTCCCCAGGGAATCACATCTCTATCAGTGGAGGGCGGGTCCCTGCAGGGACAGCTGGTTCCCAGGTGCCCTTGTGTTGGGGGGAGGAGGGGAGGCTGACTGTCTTGCCCTCAGTGTGGTAATGTGGTAGGCCAGACACCTCACTAGGGGGTGGGAAACGCAAACCACAGGATCCCCCTGGGTGTGGGGCTGGGGGAGACTCTGGGTCACCTGTCCCCCAGGAAGGACAAGGAGGGCCAGGGGCTGAGGCAGGGCTGATTGGGGCCAGGTGCCCCAGAGCTCTGCAGGTAGCCAGGCACAGGGCGTGGCCTGGGGCCCTGCCCACTGGCCTGGTACCTGCTGCTCCTGCAGCTGCCGGATGGTGCTCTGCGCCTTCTGCAGGTCTTCGGCCGCCGAGCTGCACTGCTGCCGCACCACAGCCAGTTCCCGCTTGATGACATAGTTCTCCTCTGCCTCCTGTGCGCGCGTCACCTGCCCCTGAGGACAGCGAGGATGGGGGTGCCGTGACTCTACGCTCACACCCCCCGCTGTGCCTGGGGCCCGCCTGGGGGAAGGCTCAGAGAGGGTGGAGGCGGGGTGGGAGGAGAAGGACCTCCCACACTCAGAGCCTGGGATGGGGTGCCCCGTGGGGCCTGGGGATGTGGGGGGGGGGGCGGGAGCAGGCAGGAACAGGAACCAGGAGGAACCTGGAGGAACAGACCGACCCGGGGCCCAGGCTCTGGCGTGCAGCCTCTGTCCCGGTGAGGAGAAATAAGTCCTTGTCCACAGGGTGGACAGCACAGCAGAGGCCAGGATCTGCCAGGGATGATGGGGATCTGGGGACAGCCGAGGGCCCAGAGGTTCAGGACGGGCTCCTGGGGGCCAGGTTGGAGGGTACACCTCTCCCCCAACCTTCTTCAGTCCTGGGCCCCCAGACTTCCACCTGCCCAAGACTAAGACTACCCAGCCTCATCCCCTCAACCCCCAATTTAGGCCCCCCATTCCAGGCTCAGAGCCACCAGGTGGTGAGGCAGAAGCTTCCAGAGAAAGCCATTCAAGATGAGGCAGCAGCAGAAGCAGGCGAGTGAGAGAAGAGGACAGGCCTTGCAGGTCAGAGCAGAGAAGAGCGTGAGGGGCCATGGGGGTAGGGGAGTGTGTGTGTGTGTGTGTGTGTGTGTGTGTGTCTGTGTTGGGGTGGCTCAGCTGTGCAGACACCAGCCAGGGCCTGTTGCTGATGTAGCCTCAGGGTCCCCACCCTTATCCCTATCAGTGGAAACCTGTGCATTGCGTGCACACTCACACGCCCACAGGCATCAGGCCTTCACACGCATGCTCCCTCCCCCAGAGGGAAGCCTCTGTCTCCTGGAGAAGTGGTCCCCAGCCGCCCCCATGCACAGCGCCAGGTCTGCCCCTCCCCCCTCCTCCCCTGAGGGATGGCAGCGGCCAAGGCAGAGGCGTCTGGTGGTCATGTGTGGGCACCGGGAAGAAGTGGGAGAGGGAGAGGAAAAGCTACAGTACCTGTATTAACCTATCAGCCAGAGCAGCGCTCTCCTACCCGGCGGAGGGGTTCCGAGCGACAGGGGGAGGAGGCAGAGCGGAAGGCGCGGGGACAGGAGAGGGGAGACAGACAAGAACCACATGTCACTAACGCGGTGGGCTATCTCTAGAAGCGGGAGAGAGGAGTGAGACTGGAGAACCAGAGAACCAGCAGGAGAGGACCGGGAGGAAGACCAAAGCCAGAGTGAGCTCTGTCCTGGGGAGGAGTCTGTGTGAGTGGGGGGGGGGGCAGGGTCACCCATGGGAGCTGCGGGGCTGGGGCCTTGCGTGAGGAGGGTTGTGGAGGGCAGCCCTGGCCCCCATGAGTGCAGTTTTAATTTGGAGGCAGAACAAGACTCAAGGCTTTGGGGCAAGGACAAATTCCACCTGTGGTCAGTAATAGGTCAAGAGAGACTTATCGGGGAGCTGGAAGTTGAGAGCCCCCGTCTCTACTCCCGCATTTAAAAACGGGTTGGGGGCAAGGGTCAAGGCTGTGGCACCCCCTCCATGGTGCATGGCTACCCTCTCCTCCTTTCTTTTGTCAGAGCAGCCCACACCCAGGCAGCCCGGGAGGGCGCCGGACCCAAATGGATTTGTTTGCAGTTAATGGGGTTATAACTCAGTCCCCCTTCAGGCAAAGCTTCCCCTTGGTCCCCAATTTACACAGCAGCCCAAGTCTCAGGGAAACACATGGTGGGGTCCGTGGGATTTATGCCATGGGGTTTAAGGGGGGGTTGCGCCTGGGGCAGGAGGCTGGCTGGCCGGCCCTCTGGCTGCTAGGTCCTGCTCAAGACTGGGAAGGTTTGGTGCCACAGGCTGGCGGCTGCACCCCTCACCTTCTCCAAGGTCTCAATCCGCTGCTTCAGGAGCCGGTTCTCCGTCCGAAGCCTCTGTAGTTGGGGGAAGGGGGGAGTGCGTCAGAGCCCCGTGTCCTGCTCCTGTGCACCCAGAAGTCTGTCCCCTTGGGGCCGGGACATCTTCAGGCAGGAGGGCACCAGCGTCTAATGGTCCAAGTTGGTGATCCCAGAAAACAGTCAAGGTCAATTCCCATCTGGAATGGCCCACTAGCTATTTAAAACCAAACCAAACCAAACCAAATCTTGGTTCAGGAAAACCAATGTAATGGCTTGGGTGGATATGCACTGTGTGAGGGGGTATGTTGGGGACGGAGTGGGTACGAGGGGGCAGTCAGCATCCGTGTCCTTCTGTCGAGTCGAGTTGGGCCTGTCAAGGGCAGAGCCTTCTGCGTTTTGGGGGAAGCTGCTGGCAGACAGTCCCCACCTTTCACAGCTTGGATTTGAGCCCCAAGGCTTAGAGGACAGATTCTGAGTCTAGGTCCAGGAAAGGAAAGGGGTCTTACGGAATGTGCGTGCTGTTGATGACTACATTTCCGTGTCCCACTGAGAACCAGCTGCGCCCGACAGTTGTCACTGTGTCCCCCATACCCCCCACTAATTTTCGAGGCAGTCTTCCTTCCTGCCGCCTTCCATGCTGTGCTTGTGGTTTTGGTGGGGTGCTTGTGGTTTTGGTGGGGTACTTGTGGTTTTAGGTTTCCCCACAGCCTTCTGGGAAGCCGGGGAGGTTGACATCCGCCTCGCCCCTAGTTTCTACCCCCGGGCCCTTTAAGCAGTGGGTACAGAAATCATTTCCATCAGCGGGTCAGCAAGAGTCCGGCTTCCCTGTGTATCACACAGGACATTCTTCCAGGGAGAAGAAGGTGATGGAAACATGCAGAACACACCCAGGAAGCAGCTATGGTCAGAGAGGATCACAGACTTGACTGATGGGCGCTGACTCATGTCAAGAGAAACTGAGTTGGAGGCAGGCAGGGTCTTGCTGGAGGCTCCTGGCTCACCAGAGTCGGAGCTGTTGCAGGCCCGGGTTTCTGTCCGTCATAGGGATCCAGAACCAGAGTCCTGACCCCTGACCCCTGGATGGTTCTGTCCACTTTCTGGCCTCAACGCACAGATGGCCAAGCTCAGCCATCCTTGGAGGAGCTGGGTGTGCTGACCAACACCTCACCTCGCTCCTCTTCCTCCCAGGGGAAAACCAGATAGGGTGTACCGAACAAGGACTGTGGAGGCCTACATACTAATCACAGTACTGAAAAATTTTTTGTTTCGTATTTTTGATACTTTGATATCCTGCTGCCTTGCTAATCCCAGAGACACTGCTGCTCCTAGGACTAGTTCATTCCTAGGGAGAGTAGACAGCATGCCTGCTGGTCTGCCTTTTACACCCTAACCAGCCACACCTCTGCCTACCCCCCTTACCTCTCACACACCAAACCATTATTTCCCATGCCCTCAATTGTCCCAGGACAGGTGGTGACCACTCCTGTAGCCCAGAGCCCTGGAAATTATTCAAACCAGCCAATCTTGACTCTCTTGAACCTGCCTACGCACGCTCTTGAACCCTCACCCACCCCTTCCCATGGAAATCCCAGCAAGGGCTCTGGCCCAGGCTTTTCTCCTGCCCTGCGCTGATGCTTCCCCACGTGACCCTGCACACACAGCAGAGGTGTGCCCCTCTGGGAACTCTGAGTAAACTCTCCTTCTAAAGGCAATTGTCTGTGTTTGTCACCTCACTGTACGTGATGAAAACAAATCCCAGGTTTGCTTTAAAATAGTCAAAAGGTGAAAGGGCACAGGGCAGGGACAAGGGAGAAGGCATCTGTCCTGCCCTGCCCTTGGCGGTGCTCAGGTCTGTCTTGTGAGAATTTCCAGGTTGGGCATGTGGTCTGAGGGTCTGCTGCATCCCTCCCTACTGCTGAGCCCTCCTGGCCACCAGGTGAGAGCAGGCCCTTGTCTGCATGAGCAAGACACATGTACATGTTTGGACTGGTGCATCAGTAATGCTGCCATTCCTGAGAAAGGGAGATGCTTAAAAGTTCAGCACACAAAACTGTTTCTCAGAAAACCTCCCAACAGGGCCAGGACAATAAGGTCCTCTTTCCCCACTCAGATATGGGCAGCGTGTGACTTGGATTCTAATCTAGGTTCTGTTTCTGTCTTTCGAGAGGAAGCTGGGATGATGGTGGTGGTTCATAATAATAATTTGAACAGGAGAGCAAGTGTCATCCCCATTGTGCAGAAGGGCCACTGAGACTCAGAGAGGTGAATTCACGTTCCTGGCAGGCCACCCAGCTGGTTTGTAGTAGAGCTGAGATTTGAACTCTGGTCTGTGGGACTCCAGGCCCAGGCACTGTGGGACTCTGTCCCTGAAGAAGACAGAGCCAGGCTGTGTTAGGGTTTGCGTCTGTGTCTGTCCCCAACCCCCACTGGACTGGGGGCCCTCAGTCTCTGCCGTGACTCTGGCACCAGTAGGTGCCTGCTAGATGCCTCTGGAGAGATAACCAAGATCACATCTGGAGGGTTGAAAGCAGAGGGAAGGAGATGGAAGGGAATCTGTGTGTAGAGGCTCTGTGTGCCCAGGAAAGCCCCTCTGATATTGTGATCTATCAGGAATATGTATTTGGTCTTCATCTCTGGTCCTGGCACAGCACTCCTAAAACCCTGGGAATTTTCTTAGAAAGGAATCAAGGTGTCACTTGTTATGTTAATGAGGTGACTTTTGGAAATCCCCCAGGTCACCTAAGCAAGGGGCTGGTAGCCAGGTGACCAGATCCTGTGATGAGAGGTTTGGAACTTTCTGCCTGACCTCAGGGAAGGGAGAGGGCTAAGAGTCGAATCTTTGTGCACAGGGAACTGTCCACCTGTTAAACCGTGTCCCCAGTTTAGGGGGTGGGGGTGGCCCTTGCTCTCACGCAGCCTGGTGGTGAGTGAAAGCGCAGCTGGGCCAAGGGATCACACTTGTGGCTATGGGACGTCCTGGTGTGTGGCCCACGCTGGGTGGGGCCACCCTCATCGAGGGGGCTCCCGGAGCATCCTGCCCCAGCCCGGCCCATCTCCACCTGAACTCACCTTGATCTCAATCTGCTCCTCCATCTCCTTGCTCTTCATGGCTGCGTACTCCTTCTCCAGCCTGCAGAGAGACGGGAGGGCCGATGTGCTCACTGTCCCACCCTCAGGGACCCCCTTACTGCCCACACCCTGGATGCCTGCTACTGACCTCTTCATCTTCTTGGGGTTGTACTTGACCTGGTAAGCCTTGAGGATCAGCTTATCTGGACAGCTGTCGAACTGATGGGGGATCACCCTCTGGAAGTACTGTGGAGACATGGGTGGTCACTGATGTGTGGGCCCTGACCACCTGGGACCACCGGAGCCCCTGGGAGGCCCTGCTTCCCTGGAGGAGGGGCCTGGGCATGCCAGAAGTGTCAGCCAGAGCCCGTTGGCCTGGGGCCTTGCATGGCCTGGCCCCCTGTGGGCACTCCATCAGTGTATGTGGATCGAGCGAGCGAGTATGAGAAGCAGGAATCGTGAGAAGGAGCTGCCTGTGGCCAGGACTTCTGTCTACAGGAGAAGCAGGCTTCGGGAGCTCCTGAGGGGGAAGGCCGGGGTGCAGTCTGAGAAGAGGAGCCTTCATGGGGGGGAAGGGGAGCCATGCGGCTGACCCAGGGTAATGAAAAGAGATGGAAGAGGTTGAAGGATTAGGATGGCAGGAAGGAAGCCGAAAGAAGGAGCCCTTGGGGGCCTGCCTGCTCGCTCAGGGCCCGTGGGGCCTCCACACAGAGTTTAAGCGCATGCTGCCGGTGGACATAGCTTGCTGCGGCTTGGGACTGGGCTGGCTCTGCTCTGTAGCCCAGCTGGGCCCCTCTGGCAGCTGCGGACAATGGGTGCCCGTGTTCGTGGACACAACTGTGGCCTTTGTGCATTCTTCCCCAAACCACCAGCTGGAGAATGCGGGGAGGGGGCAGGGGCCTGCATGATGGGGACACGGCAGTGAGAAGCAGGCCGGCCTCTTCTCTGCAGGCAGGGCAGCTGGCCAGGGCAGGCAGGGGGAGGGTCAGCCCCAGACCCTCACTCCCTCCTGGGCCCTCACCTGGCCTGGTTGCTGGGGCTGAAACCACACCCAAGGCCTCCAGGTGTGGCTAGTATTGCTATTTGTCACATTAGGCTCTAGGGGATCTGGAGCTGGGGGCACGTGAAGGGGAGTGGACTTCTGGGCTTGGGAAGTCCTCTCTCCCTGCTGCCAGGCTGCTGGCCCTGGCCCAAGTCTGGCAGAGCTGGGGGCTCCTCAGGGCTCCCCCCTGGCCCTTCAGGGAGATCTTGGGGGGGGCAGAGATGATGGGAAAGGATCAGGGCGCTCAGGAAATCCAGGGTCTCCCCATCTTTCAGGAAGGGTTCACTTGCCCAGGTGCCCGATGGGGGCAAACCCACCACCCTGGACCCCTGCCCACCTGGGACATCCCCTCCATGTCCAGCTGCATCAGCTCCATCTGGTTCACCTGCAGCAGGGCGAGGCCCACCCGGAAGACGATCTCCAGGCCCTGCAAAGGCAGCGGGGCAGCGCATCTCCAGCTCTGCTCTGCCGGGGGCCTCTGAGCCCTCCCTGAGCCCTGGGATCGTTTCCAGTGGGGCCTGAGTCACTCCATCCAGCGCGCTCAGGAGAGGAAGGGGTCCTCACCTCATACATGAAGATGTCAAAGACACGGGTGGCGACAGGCAGTGGGAAGGTGGTGAGGAAGAGCGTGAGGAACCAGGACGAGGCATACATGGACGTGTGGAAGCTCTGGGAGCGGAAGTGGGTGTTCAGGTCCGGGAGCTGCTCCTGGGGTCAGGGAGGCAGCCAGGCACCATGAGGAGGGCGCTGGGCGTAGCAGTCCACACCCTTAGGTTCCCTCTTCCCGAAAGTGCCTGCATTTTCAGGGAGCCTTCCCTGAATTTCCCTGGGCAGCCCCCCCACCACGCTGTCCCTGGGTGGGGCAGAAGCACCCCAGGGCTCTGAGCAGCACGAGGGGAGACCCAGGCAGGGATAGGAGGCCCAGCTGCCCGGGGATCCTCACCACCACCCCCAACAATGCTTTGCGTTTTGTGCCCAGACATGCTTAAGGGGTGTCTGACTGGCCTGAACTTTAGACGGCTGGAAAGTGACAGAAACTGGGGAAACTGAGGCTGGAGAAGATGTTAGGAGCCCCTGGTGGTCCTTCACTGGGAGAACGGACCCTTGGCTGTTGCCTGGCCTGCCTTGGGCCTCCTCCTGACTCAGGGACTCTCTGGTGGTGGCCAGCTACTTTGCCACGGGAACTCTCGGCTCCTTCTCTGTGGCCCTGGGCCACCTGCTGGCTGGCATTTCCAGTCCCCTTGACCGACAGCACCTCCTGGTCCTCCAGGCCTGAGGAGGGGGCTTTTACAACCAGACGCATCCTGCCCACTGGCACAGAGACACACAGCCCCACCTGCAACCAGCTTCCAGAGCAGGCTGGAGTGTGTGTGTCTGTATGTACACCGGTGCTGTCTGCCAGCCAGGAGCGGGCCCTGTGGGGGCTGCTATTTATAAACAGAAGCGGCTGTGGCTCTCTAGTAATCAGCAAAGGCAGGCAGACAACACTTTCCCCCTTCCACCACACTGGGGAGCAGATAGAAAGGGACGGTGTCGGGGTGTGTCTGAGGCAGGCCAACCCCTCCATCCTGGCCTGGATGACTCTGGAACCCTGAGTTCTGAGAAGCCCCCACTGTAAGGACTGGCCCCTGTCTGGCCGCTGAAGTATCCTTTAGGCAGTACTCCCTGGCCCCTTGGGGAGTAGGACCCCTTTCTGCCCTGGAACGTCTGGGTGGGTTCTCAGGCCTGGAATTTTCAGTAGAAGAGACACCCTGGGAGAGCCAAGGTCAGCACCTGTGAGTGTGGGCTGGCAGGGTATGGGGGGGCGGAGTGGGCAGGCATGACCACCTGGGCGTGCTCACCTGTAACATGTATTCAAACTGGTAGATGCAGAGCCCCAGCTCGGCCATGCTGGGCTTGAAGAGCTCCCGCAGGCGGTACTCCTGCATCAGCCGCACGAACACACAGAAGGCCTCCTCCTCAGGCATCTGGGGGTAGGGGGGGTATCTGTGAGTGGGCGTGGCATGGGACGGGTTGCCCGCTGCTCTTCTCCTGACTTGGCTTGTTTCTGCTTGGTTTACTTTGACTGAACACAGACAGTGCCAGGCTGCCCGGACCCCCACAGCAAACCTCCGGTCAATATCGTCCCCCTGTTTCACTGATGGGAAGCGTCTAGAGGCTGAAGTCACGAGCCCATGGCCACCTGGCAAGAAACGGTGGACCTGGGACTTGAACCCCAGAGCCCATGGTGGAGGCAGCCTCTCGACCAGTCTCTGCCATTCTCCCCTCCTGAGCCTGCCGGAGCCTCCAGAGAAAACCCCCAGCCCCATAAACACTGCACTGGCCGAACCAAGTCCTCTGCCTGGGTTCCCCATCTGACCCTGGGAGGTGACTGAGCAGGATGGGAAAGTGGCCAGGACCAGCCCTCTGTGCTTGGTTGGGAGACTGTTGGAGGTCACAGGTGGGCGGGGGGAGGTTCTGACCCCAGGCCTACACTGATGGAGGGAATACTTGCTTCTGTCCATCTCCAGGGGACCGACAGAGAGGGCTGGGCTGGCCCAGGCCACCTACCTGCATGAGCAGCAGGCCCACGATGAAGGCGCTGCCCTGGCAGTAGCCCACCTCCCGGTCCACCAGCGAGTAGGCCTGCACGGGAACACACAGGAATCAGGGCGGGGTCCCCCCGGGCCGGCGACCACGGTGCATCTCTCCAGGGCCAGGGCTCACCTTCATGACGTTGAAGAGGACCTCCTGGCCTAGGCTGTCCTGGCCCTTGAAGAACTCATGCTCTGGGTAAGTGCGGGCGATGTCCCTGCGGATGAGCTTCTCGCAGGGAGACGACATCTTGAGCAGCTCTGAGTACTGGTTCTTGACTGGCATGTCTGTGGCACTGCACAGGAGCTGCCAGACGATGGCCCGGAAGTGATGTGGGATGCCCTTGCGGATCAGCTCCTGGAGACCGGTCAGAGGGGATGTGGAAGACTGGGCTGGACCCGGTCCCAGAGTGGCCTCCCCACGGCCACCCAGCCCGGCCTTGGAGATGGGGCCTGTCCACGCCTCCCCGGAGGCCCAGAGAGCTTGGCTAAGCCACCTCATGGCACAGAGTGTCACTGAGCACACGGGCAGGAAGCAGGCAGGGATGTCTAGGACGCCAGCCCCGCCCACTCTCCCCACTCCCCTCCCTCCGCCTGGCACACCTCCAGCCCTGGACCTTGCCCGCCCCCAGCCACCAACCAGCCCACCCTGGCCCCACAGTCCCCCCACCTTCAGCAGCTTCTCCTTCCGGCGTCTCCACTCCTCCCACTCGTTGGCAATCCGGCCCCACAGAATCCACGTGTCCTCCTCCAGGTGGCTCAGGTTGGAGGAGGCTGAGGAGCTGGACACCAGTGAGGAGCCACTGTTCCGCCGGGAGCCATTCATGGAGCGCATGGACTTGGAGTCGGCCTCCAGTAGCCTAGGCAGGCAGGCAGGGGGTGGAGGGTGGCTGCAGGTACTTCCAGCCCCAGCCCCTGGAGCCCAGAGAGCCCGGCCCCTCCTCCCTGGGGTCCCGGACTGGATCTTAGTTGTTCTTCCTGCATGGCACTTGCTGTGTGACCTAACCTCTCTGAGCCCTGGTTTTGATCATGGGTCCCTGGAGAGGCTGCCAGGCACGTGTCCCACTTTGTGCCCTGGGCTGAGAAGCTTGGGGATCAGCTCATTTAGTCCTGAGGGGCATGTTTTGTTAAGATATGTTTACAGGTGAGGTACAGAGAGGGTGAGTGGCTGGCTGGGGGCCCCTGGCCCACAAGAGGCTGCATTAACCAGCTGTTTCTGATGCTCTGACGTCTGGGGCCTTCCTGACCCTGGAGGGACAGCTCCTCCCAGGCCTAGCAGATACCCAGAAATGGTTACAGACTTGCTTGTCAGTGTACCTGTTATATGCAAACCAACCAATCCAGAGTGCACAAACCAACCACCTCAACTAGGTGCTAGCACTTGGGGCCACTGCCCTAATTACCCAGGGCTGGATACTAGACTAATAGGCCCAGCCCCTGTGCCCCAGCTTGCTGAAGTTACTCAGACTAGCCAGTCCTAACGCTGACTACACTGCCTCACCACTCCTCCTGGCAGAGACCACAATAAAGGCTCTCACCCACATTTTTCTCATTCCCTCTGCGTCCTGACTGATCCTGGTGCTTCCCAGGGTAGCCCTGCAAGGTGTATGGTGTGCTGTGCCCCTCCTCTTGGAATCTGTGAGTAACAAACTATCTTTTTCTTTTTTTTGGCCTCACCATGTGGCATGCAGGATCTTAGTTCCCTAACCAGGGATTGAACCTATGCCCCCTTGCAGTGGAAGCTCAGCGTTCTAAATGCTGACCAGGGAAGTCCCCAGAGTTCCTAAGGTCATCTGATCTGCTGGCCTCGACTTACTGGCATAATAAAACCCACACTTTGAAACAGGGGCTGAGCTAGAGGAGACGGTTGGGAAGGGCCAGCTCCAGAGTCAGAAGTTTTACTCTTCCCTTCAACAAAGGCTTGAAAGTGCAGGTGGGGCTCACTGGGCCCTGATCCCATGATCTCTTCATCTGAATGGGAGAACGTCTGTTGGGAGGTGGTGGCAAATACTCTTGCCTAGCCTCTGCAGGAGTGTTACTTGGCCCAGGGCTCTGAGTGCAGGGGGCACCCAGGAGCTTCTGTTTGGGACCCAGGCTGTACCCTGGGGCCCCACCTTGTCCCCCAAGGCCCAACTCACCGGTTCTGCTCTTCAAGCTTGGCCAGCAGCTCCAGCTCATCGGGGCTGAGGTTCTCGGAGTCGGAGGTGGGAGAGCAGGTGGGGGCTGACAGGGCCTCCTGGGATGAGGAGTCGGGGCTCAGAGTGGGGCTCGCCATGGTGGTCAGGCTCCTCAGCTGTGAGCAGGGCCAGGTCACAGCACTGTCTGGGGACCAGAGACACACGTGGTCAGCACTGGGAGGGGTGCCCGCCCTGTCCTGCTGGCTCTGGACCGGTGAGCCTACTGCTCACCAGAGACACCTCCTCGCCCCAGGCTTCCCGCCTCGGGTCTGTCTACTCAGTCACCCCTTGTCCCCAGGCACCCCAGTCCAGTTGCTGGTTCCTTCTGCTCCCCATTTTTATGGTCCAGATGCCAGCGAGGAGTCAGGAGGGCCACGGCCAGGGCCTGTGCTGTTCTGCTCTCCCTGGGCATGGACACCAATTCTCAGTGGACACCCCTGAGTCTTCAGCAGGGCCAGGGGCCAAGGCTGCTTGTTACCCAGGGCACCTGCCAGGACCTGCAGACGTCCCTGCTCTGGTGGCTGTTCTAGTCAGCCTTGGTCCCTGTCCCCAGCTGTGGTCTGACCTGAGAGCCCTGCCTTAGCATCTGACCTGCCCTGTCTCATCAACCAGAGTGGGCTGCTGGCACAGCCAGAAGCAATTATTCTCTACTGTTAATTGTCTGGTGCTGCCAATGGCCGGAAGAGCCGACTCCTCTTGGGCTGGGAAGCCACGGACACGTCCAAGTGCTGGGACTCTGTGCTCTGGCGGCCACAGAGCGAGAGGCACAGGCTCTGGTTGGCATCCTGATCTTGGCCTGCCATGTGCCGGGTTGGTGCTGGCCCATCTCTGTTGTTCTTCCTGGGGAGGGTCTGATCCCACCCTCCTGGGAGCTTCAGGGACACTGGCATCTCCCCTCTGCCAGCCCCAGGAGAGGTGGCTCAGCACTATGCCAAAAACAGAGGCTTTGGACTCAAACGGACCAGTGTCTGAAGTGAGGCTCCCCTGGACCCCAGTGGAGGTTCGGACAGCTCAACCACAGAGGGGCTCTCAGCCAGTTTTTGGAGAAGGGGTATCTGGTCCCCTAGGTGGCAGCAGGACAGTCACAGGACAAAAACATACCTGCCTGGCACCCTCAGGTCACTGGGCACCTTCCCACAGCCCAAGCTCAACCCCCCACTCACACCTGCAGGCCCACAGGTCGGTGGGACTTGACCCTGGCCATGCACTTGATTCTAGTCTCCTTTTCCAGGGCTGTCATGGGGTGGGAGGGGGGGCACCTCGTGGGGGTACCCAGAACTCTCTCACCCCAGGACTCTGTGGCTCCCCAGGAAACTGGTTCTCCCTCTGGCCCCCAAAGGCATTGAGGGCTCTAGCTTTAGTGAATGGTACAAACTTGAGGTGATGGCTCCCCTCAGAACCGGAAGAACTTTTCTTCCCATTGCCTGGCCCAGGGACTACCTGCCTTGAAGACCAAGCCACGCACACCTCCAAGCCAGGAGTTGATCATTCCTGAGAGAGGGACTGTAGGGGCCGCTTGGGGCTTCCCGCAGAGTCCAAGTCTGTGGCTGTGGGACAGAGATGGGCTGCGGACAGGAAGTGCTGACTTGGAAGGCTTTCTGTGGGCAGGCAGGGGCAGGAAAGGCTGTGTGGGTTTCCTGACATCAGGACTGGGGTGGGAGAGGAGAGGTGGAGAGAAGGATCAGAGCCCCGGAAGCATAGCTGGATTTGAGGAGTCATGTGGGGCTCAGGGACAAAGGCCACATGTGGCTGGGGCTGGGGCCCACTGTTTCCCCACTGTACCCAGGGGACCCTAATCTCAGAAGTGCATTGCTTCCCCGCCCCACTACCCCACACCCTGGCCTGCAAAGAGCCCAGTGGTTCAGCTCTGGGTTTCTGATGAAAAGAAACAACTAGGGCCATCTGCTCGCAGAGTTTGCTCAGATACTTATCACATATTAATGTGTATTTCACACAAGAAATAAACCTGATCCCACACCCAGGGCTGAAATGTGCAGTCTGAGAGGCGGGATCTTCCAATCCGTCAGGCACTTTCTCTTGACTCTCCTCCGACTCTCTAAACACTGCACAGCCTGGAAGCTGATGCACACACATTACTTCACACTCATGCACTCACATTTACCCACTCCTCACACCCCACACACTCAGATGCATTCCCACTTACAAACCATCTCACACATCAATACACGGATACACTTATATAGTCTTGCGTGCTCATGCACACATGCTCTGATACACACACACACAATCACACACCTACATACTCAGATACACATTCACACGTGATCTCACACCCACACCCCTTTGCCCACACGCACACACATACACGCTCACACTCACGCTTCCTGCACTAACCAAGGCTCCCCATGCCTGAATCCAGTAGACAGGCATGGACGTGGGCTCTCTGCCCTCTGAGCTCGGTGAGCAGGCCTGTCTCCCACCCCACTCTACTCCGAGCACCTGGACTCTTATTGCCTCAGCCTCTCCTCCCCTGGCACTTACTGGGTGTTGTCTGAGGGCCTGCACTGTCCCAGGGACAGGGATGTGGAGTGGAACAAGGTGAATGAGCCCCCCCTGCCCCCCACACACACTCAGGGCATGCAGCTGTCCCACCTTTTGCTGGCTGGGCACAGAGACAAGACAGGTCCCATCGAGTGCTGAGGAGCCACTAGCCTCTGAGATCCATGCACAGACCCTGCAGGTCTGGAGTCCCAGCCTCTCAACAGCTTCAACTTCAATGCCCTTTTTTTCTGCTCCACTATGGCCACCCAAAGTGGGGTCCTGGCCTAAAGAGTGGGTGGTGGGCCACCTAACACAGCCTCTGCTGGCACCACTACCCTCCATGCCCCCCAACGCTGGCCGCATGGCTTAGGAGGCTGAGCCAAGCCAGAGGAGTGGGAGGAGACTGCTGGTGAGCTGGGGCCGAGGGCGGGGCAGGGCTGGTACAGAAAGGCCCAGATGCCAGGGTCGTTCTACCTCTCTTTTCTCCTCCTTTGCAGGAGCGTTTGGACACTGACAACCATGCTTCTTCCTCCTGCTACATTTTTTTTTCTGTTAATATTATTTTTTTTCCCATGCCATGTGACTTCTGGGATCTTAGTTCCCTGACCAGGGATGGAACCCATGCCCACTGCACTGGGAGCTTGGAGTCTTAACCACTAGGCCACCAGGGAAATCCCCCACACTTCCTCCTTCTCAAAGTCCACTCCCATATAGTTTTGAGACACTGGGCTCCTTGGCCTCCTGGGGCTCCTCCTCTGCCTCAGCCCACCAAGAGGCCCCTTCTTCCACAGGCCCCGCCTTGGCCCTTATCTCTTCAGGCTCTTGGTGGTGTTGCTTTCAGGACTTAAATGAACAGAAAGGCTTGTCTGTGATTGTGACACCTGTGTCCCCAGCTTTTCCCTTCTCTCTTTTTCCTCACCTCACCAAGGTGAGGACTGAAGACTGCTGGGCAAAGAGAGACACAGCCCCTGCCGGCCCAGAGCATATGGAGCAGGGAGGAGAAGAGACTCAGAAATGATCATCTGAACTTTCTATTACTGAGAGAAATCCATGAAATAAAAGATGAGGTACAGTGGAAATTAAAAGACTCTTTCTCCTTGGAAGGAAAGCTATGACAAACCTAAACAGCATATTAAAAAGCAAAGATATCATATTGCCCACAAAGGGGCACATAGTCAAAGCTATGGTTTATCCAGTGGTCATGTATGGATATGAGAGTTGGACCATAATGACGGCTGAGCACTGAAGAATTGATGCTTTCAAATTGTGGTGCTGGAGAAGACTCTTGAGAGTCCCATGGACTGTAAGGAGATCAAACCAGTCAATCCTAAAGGAAATCAACCCTGAATATTTACTGGAAGGACTGATGCTGAAGCTGAAGCTCCAATACTTTGGCCACCTGGTGCAAAGAGTTGACTCATTGGAAAAAACCCTGATACTGGGAAAGATTGAAAGCAGGAGGAGGAGAGGGTGACAGAGGATGAGATGGTTGGATTGTATCACCGACTCAATGGACATGAGTTTGAGCAAACTCTGGGAGACAGTGAAAGACAGGGGAGCCTAGTGTGCTGCAGTCCTTGGGGTAGCAAAGATTAGGACACGATTTAGCGACTGAAAAACAAGAGTGGAAACCAGTCTGGCAGTTCTTCAGAAAGGTAAACAGTTACCAATATGGGACTTGCCTGGTGGTCCAGTGGCTAAGACTCCATGCTCCCAGTGCAGGGGACGGGGGTTTGGTCCCTATTTGGGGAACTAGATCCCACATGCTGCAACTAAAGACCCTTTATGATGCAACTGAAAAGATCCTGTGTGCTGCAACTAAGGCCCACCCAGTGCAGTCAAATAAATAAATAGGCTCTCTCTTAAGAAAAAAAAAAAGTGTTACCAATATGACCCAGCAATTCCACTTCTAGGAATTCTACCCAAGAGAATGGAAAACGTACATCCACATGAAAACCTGTATACAATTGTTCACAGCAGCTCGATTCACAACAGCCAGAAAGTGAAAACAACCCAAATGTCCATTGGTGGATGAATGGATAAATGAAATGTGGTCTATCCATATGATGGAATAGTATTCAGCCATAAAAAAGGAACAGACTTTTTCTGGTGAACTCTTTCCTGGTAAATCCCCCCACCCCACTGCCTCTAGTATGTGGGTTCACTTTTCTCCCCTCTTCAAAAATATCTAACCCTACACCCCAGCCCAAGACACACTTTTTTGTTTTTTTTGGCAGCACTGGGTCTTTGTTGTGGCACATGAGTTTCTCTAGTTGAGGCTCGCAGGCTCAGTAGTTGCAGCACAAGGGCTTACCTGCTCCGTGGCATGTGGGATCTTAGTTCCCCCACCAGGGATCGAACCCACATCCCCTGCACTGGGGGGCAGATTCTTAACCACTGGACTGCCAAGGAAGTTCCCCAAGACACATTCTACAGCAATTCTTTGTATATACACCTGCCTGCCCTACTGGGTCATGAACATACTGGGGGCAAAGGCTTGGTTTCTTAATTTTCTAATCCAAGCTTCTAATGCAGCATCTGGCTGTTAGCAGGTACTCAATCAACGTCTTTGCTGGATGAATGAAGAGAAAAGTCC